AATTACATTCTGAAGGATGCCAAAATGGAAAGATTGGCTTACTGCTCCAGTTATGAAAAGACACTTTTAAATAAGAGAGTCACAATTTGAATCTTTGATTAAAGGCTGAAATCTAGAATTTGTGCATTTCAGAGCAATATTTGGGATCTTGCACCTCTCATTTGTGTATATCCTGGCCATATGCTTTTATTCTTGGTGTTATTCTCTTTTCCAGATGTTTTCTTCATACTTTTCTGTCTGGCAGAGGTATCCATTAGGACCAAAGGCTTTCATCAAAATTATGAAATCACATCATACTATTATGACCCAAGCACTGTCTCATGCAATGTCATAATGCATATACAAAAGAGCCAATGCTTGTATGACAATGGCATGATCCTTTCATCATTTCCCCCCTGTCCTGTGGACACTTTTGCTCTCTGGCCTTTATTCTAAGTTCTTCCTAGACATACCATTGTCTGAGCTATTGTCCTAAGCATGCTTTTGAACCTTCATTCTCTACTTTGTGCTGCCTCTCTCCAAAAGAAAGGGAGATCTTCCAATAACATCTGGAGAAGCTATTGCCAGCAGGAACCACTTTTAAATCTAGGGCAGCTTATGCTTTATCATCTCCATTATCATAATGTCATTAATCACTTCATATTATACTAGTCCATCCGCTATAATAAATGTTTAAAAACTACATCTGGATGAACAAAATACTGCCTTTGCACTTTTTCTTCACTATGTACATAAAAACTTCATAAGTCATCACTCATAAGCAGATTGTATCAATTAGGTAAGTATGAAAACAAAAATGTGTTCAGATGCATTTTGAATTTATCTCAGGGACATCGTGATTTACTGACAATAGGACTCACTAAACAACTCTGTTACGTCTTTCATTTGTCCTCTGTATAGCCAAGGGGTGGGTAGATGGAGTCTCTGTTCCAAAACAGAAGTATCAGATTGGAAAGAATCTATTCATCAAAATATTCCTTAAAAAAAGAAAGAACCCAAACACTTTTGCCTGAAAGCAGGAGTAACACTACAATCTGATTAGGATCAAATGTTCATCCAAATCAGCATGCATTGTTAATAGGAGTTGTGCAAATTACATTCTATCACATGCATAGAAAAAAATGTAACCCTTACTAAAAGAAGACATATGCTTGGAGCAAAGCACATCTCACTTTTTTATTTTTTAAAAGTAGACCTATTATCACTTGGATGGGGAACATCTGAATATATCATTTTAAAACATGGTTTATTTGAACTGATCCAGAAGTCAAGGGCAGTTATTTCTATAATTAACTATATGGCAAACAATTAAAAAAAACCTTGCTTGTTAAACATTCTACTTTGCAAAATTCCTTAAGACTCATTCACAGCAGAGATCTAAAAATCCTGTAAGTACCACATATGGCTCTTACTAGGCATTTTTCCATCACATAAGATAAACTTGAAAAGATGTTTGACACAATTTATATTATTCTCTGCTATTCTGTAACACATACCATCAGTTTTTATAGAGGTTTAACTCTGTGCAGCCTCATATGGCTTGCATTCAACATGCCACACTGAATCACAATTCCCTCATGATCTGTCCTAAGAACAACAAACTTTTTAGCTAAAGATGAAAGGTAAAAATGTTTCTTAATTCATGAGTTAAAAAGCCAGAAGCAGCATCTGCAAAAAAGTCTTCCATTTGCAGAGAAGAGATAAACCAGTTCCTTAAGAGACATCTAATAATAAAAAAAAACCTAAATACCCTGAAAGGAAACTTTGTGTAACATAGCTGCAATTTGAGCTCAGTACCTTAAGCGTCCTGCTTAAATCCTTTTATATCCAGTAGATGTTTTAAAATTTTGTAAAGCCAAAGTTAAAATTACTATCAAACAATAATTCAAAAGGCTGAGAGTTAAACCTTGAGAACAGAACCAAAGAAGAGCAAAACAAAGTAGAATCAAAACCAGCAAAGCACATGTTAGAAAACTAAAGGTAAACCAAGTGTAAGCATGTATAGTCACCAGAAACATTTAGTTGCAGCTAATATGTAGATTTACAGACCTGTGAATGTAGTTAGTTTCTTATAACCTTTTGTCTTCAATCATTCTACTGCTGCTCTGTCTCCCAAGTCTTCCTTTCTGCTCACAAATTCTTTTTTCCAACCCTGTCCAAAGGAACTGCCCAGATTCTGTGGTGTAATCTGAGCAGGGAAATACCATGTGCTTCTGATATGGTTAATTCCGTTTTACCTCCCTCTGATTTGCAACAAAAGAAAGCACCAATGTGAGGATCTGAAAATTAACAGCAGCTCCTTCAGTTATGGCAATCTTAAAAGAAAAAAAAATAATGCATTTAAATAAATGTCATCATCTGAATGTTGATAAAACTTGTTCCTAATCCTGCATACAGGTTAACCTTTCTACAAACTCTTGAGGTACTTAAAGTGGGTTGAAGATCAGTAATATCCACAGGGGGATGCGGTGGTGCAGCGGCTTAATGATGCTGAAAGTTGCCGGCCAGAAATGGTCAACACTTCAGCGGTTCGAGCCCAGCCTTCTCGTAGCAGAGGGAGCTCCTGCTTCCTCCCCCAGTTCCTGTCAACCCAACAGTTCAAAAACTTACGTGAGTAGATAAATGGGGACTCTCACTCCGGTGGGAGGAAAAATGCTGGCAGCGCCTTGCAAAAGGAGTTGGGAGCAGTTGCCGGTAGCACGGAAGCCGCGCTTACCCGAAAAAGGCGCGAAGCAACAGAAACCCTGCTTCCTGCACTCACCAGCTGGGCTCTGCTCTAGGAAGGAGGCTCTGGCAAACCACTTCCGAAACACCTTGCCTTGAAAACTGCAAAAGACTCGTCCAGAAGCAGTCACTGCAGAGTCAGTAACGACTGAGTGCAGATAGATATATATCTATAGATATAGATATATATTCACAGTAGTCACCATACATTTTTTTGGAATCACAGACTCACCAACTCTCTCATTTTGAAGAATGAACTAAAGATATTATTGAAGCTTCTTTTATTTCTGAATATTTTCTATAGCATCATAGGTCAATAGGATTATCTAAAGAATTTGTTTGCCTTCACCGACCCCTAACTAACAAGAAAGATAAGCAATTAAAATATTCTAAGACCTGGAAAGCTAAATAAAATTTATTTCAAAAATCTATCAGGGCTTTTTATGCAATCATCTGGCTTAGTTCGTAGAAGTTTATCAGAATTCAGATATTGTCATCTTCCATTTATAGGTCTCCAATCTCTTCCATCTAGAATGAATAAAAAACTGGGAATCAGGGGCATCTAAAGAGGTGGGGAAGAGCAAACGTGCCAAGATGTTTGACTGCCGATAGAAACCCTATCCCTTTGTACATGCATACTTTGACCATGCCACCCCTCCGTTGTAGATACTTCTGCTAGAAATCATCAACTTGTAAATGTTGATGGCATCCAAATTAAGTTCCTGAAATGCTCTACAATGTAGGTTGTCTGAAAACTATTTAAAAATTTAATAGACTTGTTCAGAACTAGTTTGAAAGTCCCTGTCATGGTGCCTGCCCTCTGGAACACTCTCTTCCCAGAGATCCATATAGCTTTCAAAAGTCTTTGAAGACTAGCTGTTCTCCTGGGCTTGGGGCTACGATGGGTGTCGAGCCTCTATTACTTGTGTTTGTTATATTGTATGTTTTCCAGACATGTATGGTTCTTTTTGCTCAGCCTTAGGTTTCTTTCCTACTGTAGTTTAATTTAATTCTTTTCTATTTTAATTTCCAAACAGAGTTGGGTAGCCTTTAAAGTTAATAAATAGTTTTACTCATATCTGAACACATCTAACCTATTTAGCCACGGGGAGAGGTACACTTCATAGCATCCGTCTTCCTTTCCTTTCCCTATAAAAACATGAAGACTCAAAAACTAACATCTCCTATTTAATTGTTTATGAAATTTTATCCTTTGCCTCAATTCAGATGGACTCTGAAGTGCAAGTTCTGGTTCAGCATATAGTTCTTTGTTTGTTTGTTTGTTTTTAATGTATTATAAGCCTCAATGAAGACTTAACACACCAGGGTCTTTTTTTCACTGAAAAAGAATGGGCTCCGAAGTGCTTCCCCTTTCTTAAAGTTTATATTTAAATTTATTTATACATCACTTGTGCAATGAGAAAGAGAGAATGAGTTGTGCAGAAAAGCAACACAAAATATTTTAAAAGATAAAATATGTATAAATATTTGGGCTCAGTCTAAGTTCTATCCCTTTTTGTATTTGATGAATTTGAAATCATGTTTCAGAGTGGAACTCCCAAGCTATCCAAAGGACGGCCAATCAGCCTTTTCCATTATGTTATACACTAAGCAAGGGTGGGAGGGAGGCCATCTGGCAGCCTGCAAGCTATATGTGGCACTTTTTTGTAGCTCCCGACTCTCCAGAAATCACAAAGATGAATCTTGGCAGACAATTCAAGAAAGGGGAAGCACTTCGGAGCCCATTCTTTTTCAATGAAAAAAAGACTCTGGTGTGTTAAGTCTTCATTGAGGCTTATAATACATTTAAAAAAAAAAAAAAAAACCCTGATCCTTCCTGCAAATAGGAAGCCCTAGTGAAATCTACTTCAGCACATCCCTGACACAGATGGCGGCGAAGATGTGTAGCTGAGAGTTGATCTGTGGGGTCCTCGGGGATCACTGAGCTTGGGTC